ATAATCAGAAATGTGTTACCTGTGATCAATCTGAAGAGATAGGAACATTAATACACAAAGAACTGGATGGATAAATTTACACAAATTATTCTTTTAAACATAAAAAATTATAACAATACAGCTTATACTTTTGCCTAATTCATGACAAAAATGTTACAATTGACCATTAACACTTCTTCTAAAATTAGTTGTTGTTGTTGAGAGAAAGCCAGAGATTGAAGTCAAGAGTCACTTTCAATATGAATTATGACCATATCCAGCATCCTTATTCAAAGGAGATGTCATGAGATCAACACAAAAATCAACCATAAAATCGCTTATACTCAATAATGTATCACCAGTACAAGAACTAGTATCAACAAGAGTTGTTAATGTTGGCTCTTTATTTGTTGTGCTGCAAATGGAAAAAAATAGAGCTATTTTGTGGGATCTTTCAAAAACACATTGATTTTTCTTGATATTTAGCCTCCGGCTCCAAGAAGATCCTAAAATATGATCAATTTACTTCTAACAGATGTTGGCCAGGCATTCTTGTCCCCTCAGAATTGCATTATTTATTTAGAGGTTTCAAGTTACACAACAAAAATCTATACCTGGCTATTTTCAGTGGAACAAATCCAATGAAATGATCAGAAATGTAAAAAATTATTTTAAAGCACTTGTGTTTATCAATTTAAATAAATATAGGCAATTTTTCATATACCTGATTTTGATGTTCTTGAGCATGTGGCCTTAAAAAAATGTTACACATCATTCTATATTGATTGATCTTTCAAAAAATATAAAGATTTTTATCTGCAAGTATATGGATTTCCATATATGGATAACTGGGCACGATCACCACTTTTTTGAATCAGAGGTTTACAATTGATTTTTTACTACCTTCCAGATTAGCTGGAGCTCTGAAAATTTGGCATTTTTGTAGCATGTTAAAATTGTTTTAAGGGCCCAAGGCATCAGAAGGAGAAGGGCAGGGTCATGGCCTCCACTTTTTTGTAGTGGAATCTTATGATAGGTTTTTCACTACTTTCAAGACAAACTGGAGCTCTGAAACTTTCAGCATTTGTATAGTCCTGTTGAACATGTGTTAAAATTGATTCCAGAGCAGATGGTAGAGGGCCAAGGCACTAGGGGCCTTACCACATTTTTCTCAAAAAAAAAATTATTTTTAATGCATTTTTAATAAAGTAAATATAACTTTCAAGACAAACTGGATATACTTATATATATATATATATATATATATATATATATATATATATATATATATATATATATATATTATATATATATATATATATATATATATATATGTGTATATATACATATATGTATATATGTACATATGTATATATATATATATACATGTATATATATATACATATATGTATATATATACATATATGTATATATTTATATATACATATATATATATATATATATATATATATATATATATATATATATATATATATATATATATATATATATATATATGTATATATACATATATGTATATATGTACATATGTATATATATATATATATACATGTATATATATATATACATATATATATATATACATATATGTATATATACATATATATATACATATATATATATATATACATATATATATATACATATATATATATATATATATATATATATATATATATATATATATATATATATATATATATATGTATGTATAAATATGACATGAAAGCTGTAATAACACCTACAAATTTTTTTGTTATGGGTGTGGGGCATATGTATAAATAAGACAAAAAAATATTTATTTATATATATATACATATATATATATATATATATATATACATATATGTATATATATATATATATATATATATATATATATATATATATATATATATATATATATATATATATATATATAATATATATATATATATATATATATATGTATATATATATATATATTTATATGTATATATATATATATTTATATGTATATATATATATATTTATATGTATATATATATATATATATATATATATATATATATATATATATATATATATATATATATATATATATATATATATATATATATATATATATGTATATATGTATAAATATAACATGAAAGCTGTAATAACACCTACAAATTTTTTTGTTATGGGTGTGGAGCATATGCATTGGATATACTTAAGATTCCATCTGTTCAGTTTAACCACCTTCAACACAAGAAAGTGCGCGGTTTCTTTTGAAAGAAGCAAGTTCTAAATTTCTTTGTAGGCAAACTAGAATTTTTCAATGTCATTTGATGTTAGAACATCAAATGACGTTAAAAAAGTCTAGTTTGCCTACGAAGTATGTTGACAAGATGGTCAACTGCGTTTATTATGATTAAAAGAAATAACTATGTACATGATGTTTTGCGTATTTCAATTTCAGATGTTCGAGTTTACACTATAAGTGCACATGATAAAGCAAAGCTAAGTTCTGTGAAGAATACTTTACATGACTCATTTATTTTGGTCAATGAGTGTGTTTTGAAAAAAACTACTGGCATTACTTCGAAATGCAGTTAATTCTGCAGAAGGAGATCTTGTTCGTGCGTTTGTAATGCCTCGTTTATAGAACTATGTTGCCAACAACTTTAACGAAGTGTTATTAATTAGTGACTGTGAAATTCATCAAGATAAATTAAGGTTGATAACTGAGGCTGTTGAAAGGGGTAGAAAGTTCAGTGTGCATGATATTCAAAAAACTTGAAATCTTTTGAATCCTAGATTCATCGGAAATAATTTGATAGAACCTGAAAAAATAAAATATATAATTAAAAAATGAAAGATTCTATGGCTTTTAAATTCAAATCTGGAGAGGTATACGGCAATAAATTGATTTGGGAAGCATTTGAAATTACCATTGACCCATTATATTGGTGGTCTGCATTCTGTAGATGGCAATCTTTACAGAGTATTGCATTTATACTGCTATCATTACACGCCTCATCATTAGAATTTTTTACAGAACATTAATAATAGAGCAATTTAATTCTAGTGTGGCTTGCGGTCATATGTGCATATTTTAACAGATGTTTTATCACAATTTCAATAAGATCGAATATGCTTATAAAAGCTTTATACTATCATGAAAAATAAATGAAAATTTTTGACAAATCAAGATTTTTTAAAAGTTGACGATTTTTAAAGCCTGGTTACACTAAAAGTTTTTATTCTTATCAATGAGTGATAAGTAAAAATAAAAACAAGTAAAAAATATTAGATGGGGGAGGAGGGTTATTAATAACCTGGGGTGGGTGGAAAATTTTCTAAAAATTAATAAACGTTCTCTTTTGGGCATTGAGTACCTAAGAGTAATAGCTATAAATATTCTTAAAATGTAAATTTGTTTAATCTGCTGCCTATTCTTTTTTCAATTCCTGATGAAGTCTATTTTATGTAATTAAAAAAAAGTGTTTATGACTTCAGATTAGAGTGTATAACAAAAATATGAAATAAAGGCATTAGGTGTTTATTAATAATCATGTTTTAACAAGGCAGGGCTCTAGCTAGGTTGGTGCAGCTGATATTTGACCTTTGTAAATGAGCAAATCCTGTCACGTAGGGCCTCATTTACTTGTCTTGCATTAAAGCATCTAAATTTTTTATTTATTGCCTTTTGATGAGGAAAATACAAGAAAAATTGATAGGTACTCCATAATATACAAAGCAAACTTTGCTTTTCGCCTATATATATTTTTATCAAAAATTACTAATTTAAAATGATATTAATTTTTTTTTTCAGTGAAATGGTGAGAAGAGTTGTGTCTTAATAGAATGTATTGTTGTAAAAGTAAAGTCCAAAACGGCTGACTAATTAAATGCGATAGTGGTGTAGTGGTAGAGCGCTGGCATCATAAGCTAATCGTTTATGAATACAATGACCGCCACGTTCGCACTTAACTTATTTCTTTGCGTAACGGCTTTATTCGGTTTGTGTTTAGAGTTGAGAGAGAGTTGTATAAAAACTAATAAACAAAAATGAGTTGCCTCCTTGAATGTGGTAACACCCTTAGCCTTAGGAAGGTGTTACCACAGTCAAAGAAGCTACTTATTTTTATAATAAAAGCAACAAAAAAACAGGTTCTATGCATCGTTTCCAACCCCCGGACTTATTTAGACAACGTTTATGTGCTTGAAGCATTTTAGCTTTTTTGGTTAGGTTGGAAATGGGAACCAACTCAAAAAATACATGTTTCCATGTGGAGGTGTTCTTTGAGGTTTTTTAGAAGTTAGGTTTCTTTTTAAAAATTTTTTTTTACTTTTTTTTTTTTTTTAAAATTTTTAAAACGAAAATTTACGCTTTCCAATTTAAAATTTACCAGTCAATTTTACCGGTAAATTTTGAATCAAATTTTACCGGAACATTTACATCACTAATATTGATATAAAAATTTACATCACTAATATTGATATAAAAATTTACATCACTAATATTGATATAAAAATTTACATCACTAATATTGATATAAAAATTTACATCACTAATATTGATATAAAAATATTTTAATTAAAGTATTATCATGACTAAATTTTTATCTATTTTCTTAATATTTTTTTTATACGTAATATTGTGATTTTTTTTTTGCTAAAAGAAAAAAAGAGTTCAACATATAGACACGTTTACCGTTACCGGATTATTGCTAATTTGTTTGAATTAAACCATCTTGAAATTATAATAATAATAGCTTTAAGATTCGAAAGTTTCTCAAATCTCCAATATATTCAATAAATAAGAGTGTAACTTTTTTTCAAGTTATGTTGCAAATTTAAATTGTTGTTTCACTAATTTAAAATGACATAAGTACGGCAAAACATGTCATATGACATAAGCGTGAACATAAAAAGGTTTAGAGTTTACAACTTACCTTGAAGTTACTTAAACATACCAAAAAGTCTTAGATCCGCTTTTGATTTGACTCATATGTTTTTTCTATGTAATATAGGTGATGTGTTCTTTGATTAATTTTGGTATCTCAGTTGACCAAGATGAGTTATACAACCATTCACTTCTTGTTGAACCTCGTGGAGTCACGTAATGAAGCATAATTAATTGAAAACGATTAAAAACCTGTGCAAACGATTATGATAAAAATGTGCTGACAACACAATTTGTAAATGGAACGTTTTTATACTTTCGTATATTTTTTGAATACAGCTCAATAGCTTTAAATAGTAAAATATTTTGATATATCTTTTGATATAAATTTTTTTATCGGATTTGTAAGAAATTTTTTTATAATAAATTGAATTTATTACAGATTTTTTTAGAAATTTTATTAAAAACTTTTCTATATATAATATATATATATATAAATAAATGTAATATATATTTTGTTGTTGTTATTTTGCATTTTGATTAGGAAATCCGGTTTGAATTTACTGAGGAAAGAGAAACAAGCTTTGAAACGCTTTGCGCCATGTTTTACTTTGTCCAAAATTTATGAACAAGTTAAAACTCATTATTGAATATATTTTGTATAGCATTGCAACTTTATGAAATAATTAGATCTAAAACTCAAAGCTTCCTATTTTTTTATTCTTCAATGAAACCTTTCAGTAACTGAATCTTTAATCAAATTTAGAATGGTATCTTTTCCTCCATCTAAAATGGTAACCTAATTAGCTCTGGCTGGCATTCTAAAAAATAAACTTCTAGCAGTGACTTCAGAAGAGGGGATCTATATTTCTAGGTACCGCAGTTTTAGCGGCCCCACTTGTTTTAAGAAAACTTTTGTTATTATTTTCTTTTTATGGTAATATAAGCGCCAAAATCTCTTCATCTGGCACTAACCTCTAGATCTAGGTTGGAATGCAAGAAGCGAACTTGAAATTTAAAGTCATACTTCAAGTCTGAAATTTAACTTGAGCAAATGCAATGAGCGAACTTGAACTCAAGCTATACTTGAAAACCGGTTGTTTTTAAATTAAACTTGAAGTCAGCTCAAACTGAGGGGCAAATATTTGCAAAGCATCCTTATTTGACATAATTTTAAGCATATAATTGTTTAGAGTTTGCTCCGCGTCCGGAGGTTAGCTATCTCAAAGACCATGAACCTAGCAGTTCATCCATTCCCTGATCTATACACTTTTTGATCATTTCGTTCTATTCTGACTTGTTAGCCGTTATAATAAAAATAGGCTCTGTCGTACATTAGATAAAATCTAACTTGTTAACTATTTTCTACTAATTTTGTTCTCTTTATAAATGTGATATTCTTCCTGGTATTGAAAACTGTTGTCATAATTTTTAATTAATTTGCTCCTAACGTGAGTGTTTGTTTGCAGCCTTGTTGGAGTTGTTGGAGTTTAATTTTTTTTTCAATAAAAATTTCAACCAGGAAAATGAATAAAAAAACCTTGTGTTCGACATAAATGCTTTGCTGATAACCGCATAGCATATATGCTATTTGAATGTTAAGCAGATGTTACGTCATAGTATATATGCTATTTGAATGTTAAGCAGATGTTACGTCATAGTTAGATGTGACGTCGTAGTTAGATGTTACGTCATAGTTAGAGCCTTGTACTAAATAGAAGAAATGAAAGATTATTAAATTACCAAGTTTTAATAAAAATAAAATACAAAAGTAAAAGTTGTTATTTTTGTAAGTTAATATTTTAAAGTATAAAAATATTTTTAAAAATATATAGTTAATTTGCTTTATTTCTTTATTTCTTCGGGTACTATCTTAAAAGGTTACCCCTTTTCAAATACTCTGCCGATAATGGTTGCAAAATTTTTTTTTCCGATTCAGTCTTCAATTCAACGCCTTTTAAGTTTTCCAAGTTTGACTTACATATCGATCTTTAAATTTTGAAGTTTCGTTTGAGCATTTGCTCAAGCTTTTTTTTTTTGAAGTCTAACTTGACAAAGTCAGACTTCAAAGTTCAAGTCAAACTTCACTCAAGTTCGCTTCTTGCATTCCACCCCTAGAATCGCTGCATATTTCTTTTAGTCATGTTTTTTTAAAGTATTTTTTAAAATATAACACTACAACATGAATTGAAATACAGTAGAACAAAGATTTAAAATTTATATTTAATTTCAAATTCCAAATACAAAGATTAACAAATCAGGTAAAAAAAAAAAAAAAAAAAAACTATTGTTCAAAAATCGTTGGTCTTTTATTTCATATTTTAAATCTTTACGCAGAAATAAAATTTATAAATCGGGCGCTTTCTTTTAAAACCAATAAAATATGAACTTTTTTTTTTTGAAATTAAATGATTATTATTTAAAACATCTATGACTTAATATAACTTTCATAAAATAAAACAGGCCTTCAAAAGGAACGTCATTAATTTTAAAATAGCCTCAACTTTTGCTGTGGCCTCCAAGCATTTTAGCAAACTCCAAGGATCGATTATCAAGACAAATATTGGTTGTAAATCAAATAAAGCCATTAGAAAACTTATTGCCATTAGAAAAATTATATATATATATATTTTAACAATTTTAAAAAATGTATTTTACAAAATAGAGTGCTCAATGTTCTTAAAAGAACAGAGCAATTATAAATTAGTAGAAAATCGTTTAACAAAAATTTTTTTCATTTTACACTTTGTTTCATCAACAAAGACATCATCAGAAATCATATATATATATATATATATATATATATATATATATATATATATATATATATATATATATATATATATATATATATATATATATATATATATATATATATATATGTAAATATATATATATATATATATATATATATATATATATATATACATATATATATATATATATATATATATATATATATATATATATATATATATATATATATATATATATATATATATATATATATATATATATATATATATATATATATATATATATATATATATATATATATATATATATATATATATATATATATATATATATATATATATATATATATATATAGCCGCGATCCCAACACATGTATACATGTACTAGTTTTCGATTAACTTTAATCAAGATTGTTTTTATATTTGAGTAAGAAAAGAAGAAATTTGTATCACCTGCAAAGAGAATAAAGTATATTCTTAATACTTAATAAAGAACAAAAATTTTGATCGAAAATTTATATACATATAAATAGATAATGCAAATATAAAAGGCGAAAGCAAAAAAGCGACAATTAAAATATAAATAAAAATAAAATAAAAATAGGAAGGACGAAAGTTAAAAAGCGACAATGGTATAATTAATTAATTCATCGATTTTATAGACATCAATCATGTTTATTTTGCCTGTGGTTTTATATTTTAATTATCATGGAAGATTTTAAGTTATATAATATTGCACTCACAACATTGAGTTGTATACATTGGATCAATGTTGATCCATGTACATTGAATTAACGTTGGGTTATATACATTGGATCAAAGTTGGGTTTAGATTGTAAAAATAATCAATTTTTGCAATATTTTTACAAAAGTTGAACCAATGTAATTAACCAAGCTGTTTTTAGTAACGTTGGTGTTAATCTTTTCACTAATATCAATGCTAAACATGTGACATTGGATCAACGTTGGATTTGGTTTTACATTGGAAAATGTGCTTAACAAAACAATTTTTTTAGACATATATTAGTTATTAAAGTGCTACATGAAGAGCATTGAGGAAGAGCATTCAACCAGGAAGTGCACGCCTTATCTTCCTAAAATAAAAAAATCAATAAAAGATACACAATATGGGCTGAATGAAGAAAATATACGAGTGAATACACATATAGAAATACGCATATTGCATCTACATTCTACGTTAATATAATTAAACAATATCTTAGCCAATTGGTATTTTATAAACTATAGAAAATAAATTTGATTTTGAAACTGTCCATTAATTAAGTCAACAATTTTCTGGCAACTTTTACCTCCCCGACCCCCTTGTCAACAACTTGTCAAACTTCCAGAAAACCCCCTAAAATATACATTAACATTCATGTATCCCTCCCCCCCCTCCTCCTTCCAAAAAAAAAGAATAACTTATATAGCTATAGCTAAACAAAAAAGAGATTAAAAGTAAACTATTTAAAAAACCATTCAAAATTACAAACGCTTGCTCTGAACAAAAGGTGAATAAATGTAAAAAGTATAGAAAAAGAGCTATTAAACTTTTAACTTAGGAACATATTACTATCTCATAAATACAAAAACTTACTTCGAACGAAAAGGTAAGATTAAAGGGTAAACAAAAATGTATACACCTTACACGTTTAATTTATGAACATATTTCAAATTAATGCAACACTTCAATGTGTTAATCCACTTTAACTTTAGACCTAATTCAATTTCACAGTAAAAGCCAATTATTTCTAATAGAAATTATTATAACGAAAAATGCATTTAACAAATTGTATAAACCAGGGGTCGGCAACCTATTGAAAAAAGAAGAGCCAAAAGTTGCAATTTACAAAGTTTTAGTTTGCTAAGCAAACAAAAAAGATTTGTGTAAGTACATGATCTACATTATTTATTATAAAAAGTAACATTGTTGACGTCAACTTGTCCTGACCTTCTCCGCTCCCTGTGAACAAATGTCAAAAAATTTCAGACCCCCCTCCTTCCCCTATTTTGTTGATGTAATTTATGGACAGCAACTTTGCATTGCATATATAAGATATAAATATCAATATAAAAAAAAAATTTCAAAAGTAAGATAGTAATATGCAACAAAAATGTTATTTTGTTGAACTTTTGAAATATTTATTTAAAATTATAGTTTTACATCACATTTTAGAACCAAGTACTAACATGTTATATTTTAAAATTGTGTTCTGCAATACTGAAAAATGAAAGTATAATTTAGAACATGTTAGAAGCAAGTTCAACAATCGTGGCTCACAGCGAGTTATTGAAAAATCAGCTCTACAAAGTTTTTGGTGTAACAAATTTATTGATTAAGTACTTAATTTGACATTTGTAAAGTATTTGATAGCATGACATTCTTTAACTTAAACTTAGAAATAAAAATTGAATATATTGGAAGATGACTAGATATTGTTTTTAGTGGACAATGAGTAGATATTGTTGAGCTGATATTGTTGAGTTGATAGTGTTGAGATATTGTTAAATAAATAAATAATTTCAAGTGATGTAAGAATTATGAATAAATACTTTCAATTGGGGTAAGAATTATGAATACTTTCAAGTAGTGTAAGAATAATAAA